CGGCTCGGACTTTCTAGCCGACTTCGATCTCCTTGTTGACTTCCGACGACCCCTCTTCCTCGACCGTACAACTGGTCTCTCTGTACATTCTTATCTCCCTTCAATGCCTCCTGCAATTTTTATTTCTTGGATACAGGTATTGCCTGCTCCTTTTGGGAACTGCTCCTTGAACACCTTAATATAATAAACCCGAGTTTCGCAGTGATGAACTTCAACATGACGTTGTACACCATATCTGAAGATTAACCCCGGTCCCTTTTCGGGCCGCGAAGGCGGAATGTGAACATATGCTGTAACCGAGAATTATTCGACTGTCCGTGGGACCCTGGGCCTCCCTTTGAACATGGTTCCCAAGGCAACTGGAGACGCTATGGGGACTGTCGTACCCTCAGCAATGTCACCATTCTCGATCGGCACATTTGCCTCATCTTAAAGATTTTGCTGAAACCCTTTTCGGCAAAGCGGTTTACTCGAAGATCGACCTGATGCGTGTCTTTCATTATATTCCGGTTGCCTCTGGGCATATCCAAAAATATGCAGTCACCCCACCTTTTGGCACTTTCATATTCATCTGCATGCCCTTCGGTCTTCATGATGCCGCCCAAATATTCCAGATGTTCATTTCCCATGACTTACGTGGTCCACCGTTTGTGGCCGCCTACATCGATGACCTCTTGGTGGCCAGTCAAAATGCCGAAGAACGCGAAGAGCACGTTACTTTAGTGTTGGGCCGCCTCGCTAGATATGGCGTAGTCATCAACCTCCGAAAGTAGGTTTTTGGCCTGCCTTCCCTTGAATTACTTACCAACATTTTGACTCATAAGGCTTGCGTCCTCTCCCCTCCATGGTCAAAGCCATTCATGACTTCCCTCCACTTACCTCTAAGCATCAGATGCGACGTTTTCTCGGCCTGGCCAACTTTAACCGCCGGTTTCTTCCGAACTGCGCCGACCTTATGCTGCCACTGACTAACATAATTTCTGATCCAGAAGGTCCCCTTTGAGCTAACTGGTGGCACACTAACTGCTTTCGAGAGAATCAGAGCCTCTTTTGATGACGCTGCCTTGCTCATACATCTTGATCCCCAAGCCCCGCTATCCCTCAAGAGGAAACGTCACAACAAGTCCCCACTGGGCACTCCCCAGCCCCAGCGCATGTTTCAAACATGCGCACCTGGATGTCATAGATCCCTTTTCTCCATCCAAAGGTTATGCTCAGCTTCTTAACTGCGTTGATCGGAACACCCGCTAGACTGAAGCCATTCCTTTGCCGAACGTGCAGGCTGAAACAATCGTGAAGGCCTTCGTCAGTCGTTGGATCGTCATTTTCGGTGACCCGTCCACGATTACGACTGATCGTGGTGCCCAGTTTGAGTCTGCTCTCTTCCGAACCCTCCTCAATTTTCTTGGCTGCGCGCGCATTCGGACGAGAGCATACGATTTAATTGCCAACGGTATGGCTCTGTGTTTCTATCTCCAGCCACAGACTGTGCCGCGTACCGCAGAAGGCCCAGGAAACTGGTCAGACAACCGTCCCCTTGTACTCCTCGACATTCGCGCAGCTCTAAAATCGTTTTGGACTGTAGCGCAGCTGAACTGCTTTCCGGTACTAACCTTCGACTGCCAAGCTAGATGGTCAGTCCGACTTCTCGTGCTGTAGACGCGACCTCCGACAATTTTGCGCACCGTGTGGAGCAGTTCATGCGTTTGCTTTCACCGGCTCCGCCGCGAACCCCAGCGACCGATTCTTATGTCGAAAAAGGCTTGGACAACTGCATTCATGTGTCCGTCCGGTGTGACCGCCTGCGCCAGCCGCTGGAATCACCATACGAGGTGTTATTTATGCCAAACAGAAGGTTAATTGTAAACAGGACGTGCACTGAGTACGGGAGACAGCATCGCCTTGTAGAAACGGCCGGGTATATGCCAAGGGGCATGTCATAGGTTGAAAGATGGCTAATCAGCAGCAAGGTTGTCTGAACGGCGATGCACGACCTTGGTCGCGCACATGTGGCGTGATGTCTAGACAGTACGGGGCAGCATACTTTGAATCCCTCCACCCCAACGTTGACAGCATCGGGATGGGGGGAAGGAAACAGTAAAGGTATAAGTGGATAGTTAAACAATGTTCTAATGGAAGTCGTCCTGAAAGCGTTGTAGTGGACAGCCACAGTAGCTACGTCACGCCTCTCGCTAGAGCCTGCACTACGCATCTGGTCGATACTCTGCCTGCACCATGCGAAATTTCTCTCTACCCTCGCATGGGCTCAAGGCCAACCAACGAAACTCCCCCACTCGCTGATTGGTACATTGACAGGCGAACAGTCCAGACCACTAGCGTAAACAATCTGCCACGACACTTTTGCAGCGGCGACCTTCGGCGACACACAGCTCGTTGCTCTCGCAGACTCCGCCTCCGCGGCGCCGGATGCATCCTCATCCGGTTGCCACCTTCCCTTCATTATTATGTACAGAACAAATAAATAATTTTCCTCTTCAACTGGCGTCCCGCTTCAAACAGTTTCGGATATGGCCTGAAGTTGTGGCGTACTGAGCGTACACCATCACCGCTTAGCCACTACAGCGTTGAACAGGTTTTCGGATTCGGGTCGATCTTCTGAGGATGGTATTTTCAACCTCTGCGTTGTTTTGTGGAGTCACTGGTTCCTCTGCCCCTGAGTCCGTGCAGGCCAGGGTAGAAGTAAGAGGGGTAGCAGACACCTCGGTCGGTAGCGTTGTGCTCCATGCAGGCAGTAGATGTTCAGTCCTTGGGATGCCTATCAAGGGTTGCTGGCAATCCGAATTTTCCGAATTATCCACTTACTATGTCCGTTCGGCCGCTTACCCGGTTCATATGTCCACGAACAATTCTCCCGTCTTTTAACTCTAATTATACTACTTACCCGTTGCTTGTTCGCACTGTCGCTGGACACCAGTTCGTTTCGCGTTCTAGTCGCGTGCAGACATTTTTGTTAGGCGCGAGGACTTGTGATCGAGTGTTCACATCATATCCAGCTATCGTCTTCGTCTGTTTTTCGATGACGCTATCATGCGTTGATGGAATAAGCAGGTCGAATCGTGTGCGCAAATACCGCTTGAACATCAATTCTGCAGGCGAAGCACCGGTCGAGTCGTTTGGTGTTATGCGATAGCTGAACAAAAAGCGCGACAACTTGGCGCCCAAGTCCGCTTCCGTCTGTTGGGCTAGTCCGTGTTTTATTGTCCGAATTGCACGCTCTGCGAGGCCATTAGAAGCAGCATGATGCGGGGCAGTGGTCAGATGCCTAATTCCGTTTCTCTCTATGAATTCTTTAAATTCTGCACAAGTAACGGCGGGACCTTTGTCCGAAACGAGCATTTCATGTGTCTCAAAAGTAGAAAAAATAAACAGTTCGCAACTTGTTGATTGTATTCAGTGAAGAACAAGAGTTTCCTCTCGAAATCGCATCAATCCATTTAGTGTGGGCGTCAACCACCATCAAGACCATATGACCTTGGGATGGCCCAAAACAATTGATGTGTACCCCCTTCCACGGCGAGTTAGGCCAGACCCAAGGCCTCAGAGGCACCTTTGGCAAGGTCATCTGTGTTCTTTGACACTAGTGACATGCTTTCACCACATTTTCGGTATTAACGTCAATTTCGGGCCATCAAACATTGCTGCGTGCGAGAGCATTACGCAAGCCTCAGAGGCGTGTCGGCTTTGTAGTGGCACAACTACACGATTGCCCTATGGAATGCATCCGTCTTGCAGATTCAACTCTTTCTGACGGCCGAAGAATGTTTGAAAATCAGGGGAGATAGAGGACAGCCATTCAGATTGCAAGGTCCTTTTTACCCGACTTAAAAGAGGGTCTCTCTATGCCTACTCTCTAACTTGTTGACAGGTTACAGCTGCGTTGACTAGGTTCTGCAAAAGATTTACGGTCTCAAAAACAGGTGTCCCTCAACGCCATCGTCTACAATGGGAAGCCCACTCAAGGCTTCAGTCACTACGTTTGCATTACCCTAATGTACTTCATTGCATATGTGTAAGCAGAGAGAATGAGTGCCCATCGTTTCATTCTCGGTGACGACATCTGTCGTATCCCTCGTTTTTCACGCAGTAAACCTAAGAGGGGATTGTGACCAGTGTGGATCTCGAAGGGTCGACCAAAAAGATACAGGTGGAAGCGATTTAGGCCAAACATTATTGCTAAGGCCTTTTTATCTAGTTGCAAATAGTTGGTTTCCGCCTGGGACAGGGTTCTTGATGCGAAAGTAGTCGGCATCTCCGCACCAGAATGCATTCGGTGCATGTGAATCGTACCTACACCGAACGGAGACGAATCACATTTCAATATAATAGGCTTTTCAGTGTCATAATAAATTATGACAGATGAAGGGGCAAGAGTCCCCTTTGCCTGTTCAAAAACACCTTGTTCGACCCCGGCCAGATCCACCAACGAAGCCTTCATTACTGAGGAGTCAGACAAGGCAGAAATTTTAAATTATTTTTTTCCCAAGCATTGCACTATTGAAACTGACCCAATCCCTTTAATTCCTCCGTTGTCTGATGCCTCTCTCAGCATCATTAATTCTTCTCCTGAAGCTATTCAAAAACTGATAAACCATCTTCCTAACTCCCACTCGGTAGGTACGGACAGCATCCCAAACTCTCTTGTAAAACAGCTAAGAGATTTTGCTCCTCTGCTTATCAAGATCTTTACAGTATTTCTCATAAATGGCTTTTTTCCTGCTAGTGGAAAACTTCTATTATTATTCCAGTATTTCAGTCTGGCTGTCGTTCTGACGTTCGGAATTAACGAGGTGCCCGTAAAACAACTTCTCTCACCAAAACCTTTGAAAAAATTGTCGCCATAAAAATTACCGACTTTTGCGTAGCCAATCAAGTTATTAGCCCTTCCCTGCGTGGTTTTCTACCAGACCGCTCTTGTGAAATATGTCATTTGTCGTTTCTCAATCTACTTATTGCTCTTCGTAATGACCATCTATCTGTTGTCGTTATTTATTTTGATCTTAGTAAAGCCTTTAATAAAGTGTCACATAAAAGACTCGTGGTTAAATTTGAAGCTCTGGGAATTCGCAGTCCCCTAATAGACCTTATCAAGTCATACCTGTCTAATCGTAAACAAGGTTTAGGTGGATTTTCATTTTCTAATGATAGCCCTATTGTAACTGGTGTCCTACAAGGCATCGTTTTAGGTCCTCTTTACATAAGTGATATCTCGGCAGCACTGAAACATTCTCAATAATTTATTTATGCCGATGATCTCAAGTGTGTATATTCTTTCAAAAAATCTACGAGCCTTCATTGCCTGCAGCAAATTCATGCTGACTTGCTTGCTCGCTCAACTTGGAGCTCAAAATGGCTAATGGGATTCTCTCCGTCTAAATGTCGCTATGCGTGTTTTGGACCTGATAGGTTACTCCATCCAGTGGACTTCCAAGGCACACCCATGACGGAATGTACCACCATCAAGGATGTAGGTTTAAGCTACACTAATAATCTTGATCTCTCGCCACCCGCTGATAGAATTACAGCCAAAGCTGCCCAGATTTGTGGCATTATTTCTTACAATTTCCATCTTCCTGAAATTAAATTAAGACGCTATCGTATGTTTTTACTTCTCATTCTCGAGTATTGTTGCCCATTCTTTGGTTTGATGAATGAGGCTAGTCGGTTAAAAATTAAAAATTTCAAAAAACGTTTTACTAGAAAACTTTTAGGCACGGAACATCCAAGTATCTCCTACTCAGATAAGTGCCAGCTAATTAACCTAAACTTTTTGTGGGTTCGAAGACTAGAAGCAGACTTCTGTCTCCTCTTTCGCATTGATAATAGTTCGAATCTTCCGAGAATTTCAACCATTATCCCTAGCAGTCGCCCACACAATCTTCGCAACTCTTCCCTGATTATCCCTCCTCCCGCTTCCTCTACCTCTAAGCGCTTTCTCTTTTTTCGCTTCCAGGTATACTTTTTTTGGAATAACCTCCCAATAAATATATGATCTTCAGAAAATCTACACACTTTTGAGAGAAGGCTACGCCTTAGGCGAACACTGACTCAATTAAACTTTTATTTTCCTCATCCTTCCCAGACAAGTTTCTCTATGACACTGAGAAAGGGCCACCGGGAATTTAGTATGCCGCCATTAAATTTCCGAATCTGCTCACATTTCCTTCTTTTGTGAGTCGTACCGTTGCCTAGGAACCCTCATCAAAAGTGTGAATTTTTCGGTTTTTCACTCCGTCCATCGTGCTCTCACAGGATGCGATCTACGGACGCTCTAGGCGGGACCTTCTGTATTTGCCATACACTAGTAGTCTGGTCGCATCTCCCTTGCCCCCTCATCGGCTGGATTCGGCTGAATGTAACCGATCGCATCTGAGTTCCTATCGCCTCGAGACTGGTTTTCTATTCGCCACATTGACATTAATAGCCTCATCCGACATAAAAATTCTGCCTTGATGATGCTTGTTTCGATCCTCTTACTCAATATCACATACAGGCCAGTTCTGACTGACCCGCCTACTTACTCCTTCATTAATTCCGTTATATACTGCCACATACAGGCCGGTCCTGCCTGCTTTGTCTGTATTTAGGAGCGAGGGTTTTTTTTGCTATTGTTTTTTTCAGTCATACTAATTTTGCTTTTATTTTAGGAGTTTTTTTCACCGCTCGCTCATAATTTTTCCTAACATACTACTTATTCGATAACTATGAATTGATAATTGTATAAATTATGTATACTTCGTCCAAAATTCTAAAATTAATCTAAAAGTTATTCTTACTAGCTGTAATAGGACCCCCACGGGTCTTGAATAAAAATTATTATTATTTTTATCAGTAGTTATTTACTTGCTTTTTTTCAGGCTTCTGTATACCATTCGGTGTCGTCTTACGTCGCCCTCCTGTCTCAGAGAGGGTGCTGTGTCGAGGTCCGAACTACCTGGTTTTTAACATGCTCGTGCCTTTTCATTGACTGCCCTGGTTGTTTTTTGGTGATAGACACACTGCAGTAAGCCAACGGCCGCATTGTTTGCGTGCTTCATGATCAGGTCGTTGGATATTTTAAAGATTACCTTTGCTTACCTAATGGGTTTTCTTATTGTCGGTCTTACTAAGGGCTCGTAAGATATAGGTCGCTAGTTCGTGATAACAGTGCTATTAACGATAGAAGCGAACAGGCGAGTTTAAGGTAACAGTTCAGAAGACGAAGATGCGATCACTGGAACAAGAAATTTATTAGCCTGACGTTTCGGATTCTCACTCGAATCCATAATCTGAGACATTCGCAGATAAAGGTGATGGTGGCACACAGCGTGCAGTATTTATAGCACGTGGCTGCCGCAGGACTGTATGCGCACTGTTATTGACAGCTCCTCTCCGGCCTATCGTATCACTAAAGGGCACACCAACCTACGGACTGGCAAAGTAGCTGTTCCAACGTCTCAAGTTTCTGACCTCCGATTCGAACACCACAGTCAGCTCGTCAACGCAATTCTTGGAGACACTTAAAGGAGTAAGTCTCCTGCCACGCGATGTCATGGTTTCCTTTGATGTCACGTCCCTTTTTACTTCAATCCCACAGGGCCTGGCAGTCGAGACTATCGAACTACTCCTACGAAAGAAATACGACGAAACGGAGAATCTCCTCGGACACGCCCAAATCGTCCAGCTCCTGAAGTTCTGTCTCAAGACGTACTTTATATTCGACAGAAAAATCTACGAGCAGGTGAAGGGAACGCCAATGGGTTCGCCGATTTCGGGACGCATAGCCGAGGAGGTCCTACAACGGCTGGAGTCGCTGGTTTTCTGATACCACAGACCGAAATTCTGGGCTCGGTATGTGGATGACACCTTCGTCGTCATCGAACAGGATCAGGTGCTGACATTCAAAGAACATCTCAAAGCCGTCTTCCCAGG